CTACCTACTCTACTACCCTAATCCTCGACCTCCATACCTTCCTATCAATGGTCATGTCCTCGGCCAGCTGAAGCTGCATCATGTCTTTTCTAATCACCTCTCCCCGCCTCTTCTTTAACCTACCTCTACCTCTTCGTAGGCCCTCCACTGTCAACCTCTCACACCTCCTCACAGGAGCATATGTGCTCCTCCTCCTCACATGACCAAACCACCTAAGTCGCGCTTCCCGCATCTTGTCCTCAATAGGGGCCACACCTACCTTGTCGCGAATAACCTCATTTCCGATCCTATCTAACTTGGTGTGCCAGCACATCCATCTCAACATCCTCATCTCTACTACCTTCATCCTCTGGACATGAGCGATCTTGACTGGCCAACACTCAGCCCCATACAACATCGTTGGTCTGACCACCACTCTGTAGAACTTACCCTTAAGTTTCGGTGGCACCTTCTTGTCACATAAAACACCGGAAGCGAGTCTCCATTTCATCCATCCCGCCCAAATACGATGTGTGACATCTTCATCAATTCCCCATCCCCCTGAATAATAGACCCAAGGTACTTAAAACTTACTCTCCTAGGGATGACCTGCGAGTCCAGCCTCACCTCCCCTTCCCCTCCTTGAGTCTCGCCACTGAACTTACACTCTAAGTACTCTGTCTTGGTCCTTCTCAACTTAAAACCTTTAGATTCCAAGGTCTGCCTCCATACCTCTAATTGCGCGTTGACACCGTCTCGCGTCTCATCAATCAATACAATATCATCTTCAAATAGCATGCACCACGGCACCTCCCCTTGGATGTAGCACGTCAGTACGTCCATTGCCAGAGCAAATAAAAAAGGGCTGAGTGTCGACCCCTGATGCAACCCCATCATAACCGGAAAATGGTCTGAATCCCCAGCCACCGTCCTCACTCGGGTCTTTACTCCATCATACATATCCTTAATCAACCTAACGTAGGCAACAGGTACACCTCTAGCCTCCAAACATCTCCACAAAACCTCCCTCAAAACTTTATCCTTTTCTAAGTCGATAAACGCCCTATGCAAGTCCTTCTTTCTCTCCCTAAAGTGCTCTATCAATCTCCTAATATATAGAATGAGGAGGATATTCTCTACATTGAAAAAAATAAATACTTAGCCTATAAGAAGAGAAAAAAATACTTATTTGGTGTATTAGATTAAGATTCCAATATAAGGAGGTGGGTGTTGTGTAATGTCAGCAATCAAGTCACAGACTATGTTTTGTTAGGCCTTTAGAAGACGGAAGAAAAGATGCTGGCATGGGATGTCGCTTCTCTAGCACTTATATGGACCATTTGGTGGGAGAGAAATATGAGAGCTTTTGAAGGAGCAGAGAAAGACTTCATACAATTAAGGAATATCCTTTTCCCCTCATTTCCTTTTCGTGCACCCACGAGGTTCCTATTTTTGTGTAAATAATTGGGTGTTTTTCGTAGAAAACCATTTCTTTTTGTAAGGTTTTCTATTTTTTGGTATACTTGTATACGAGCACATTTTTTGCCCTTTTTAACGAAACTATTACCTTATAAAAAAATGTTCTTCTCTTCTATTCCTTTACAAAAAAAAGTTCCATTTTTTTTTAGAAAGAGGTAACGAAATCATTAACAAAAGCACTCTAGGGGTGCATAATTACAAAAGCTATTTACATCAAAATCCAGTTGTTCCCTTAAATAGACTGGGAACAGATGAAGTCAACATGCAAGAAACTAGGGGATTGATTAGGAGAACATGGCCAACAGGTTAAGGTGGCCCAATGTCTAAATTTGTATCAATAAATTGGTTAAAAATTGTATCTAGTAGGGGATACAACATCCACATCTAACAACATATCCACTTCTTATTATCAAATGAATTCATCTTTTGAATTCAATCTACAAGCTTCTCAAGTTCCTTTATTGATCTTTTTCTGCTTTCTGCAGTGTTAAAATTTGCTCGCAGTGGATCTAAGACTTGAGGAAACAAGATTGAGATGCAGGAACCGTAGGATGTTCAGATGCAACCATATCATGATTCATGTATCTAGACACACATATACGATTCAGATCTAATTCAAGTTCTTTTGGATAAGATAATCTGATTAAATGAGCATACCATTCTCTCATACATAGAGACCACTCGACTGCAAGCGATATTTTGCATGCTTAGATCTTGTCTAATGGATCTCATCCTATCAAAGATGAAGTCATGAACCACCTCAAAGGGATGCTCTGTAGAGTACAGCAAGTTACTCAGATAATTTAAAGTGTCTTCCAACACTGAGAGAGGCCTCACATCAGAATCTTGCACAGTCTTTCCGGATATAGTCCTGCAGAACTAACAAGTGAAAAATTCAATAAACCATCATTGTGCAAAGACTGAAGAGTGAATTAAATTTTACCAAAGTATCAAAAGTAGATAAGAAAGACTCTGAAATCACTTCCGCCACAACTAACACTTGGCTTATAAGTATAACAACAATGAAAATGAAGTTGGAAAGGAGTAAAAAATTTAGAGGAGAGGAAAGACTGGTTAAATCCTATATTGTTTATCCATGCTGTAAATAAAAGTACTCCCTCTGTTTCAATTTAGATGACACACTTTTCTTATTAGTCCGTTCCAAAGAATGACACATTTTTACAATTGGAAATAATTCAACTTTAAACTATTCAATTTAACTCATTTTACTCTTAATGAGAAATTTTTATAACTACACAAATGTCATGGCCCCACAAAGCTTTTACCCCTTAAGCTTTTAAGACCACAAATTTGAAAAGTCTTTTTTTTTTCTTAAACTCCATACTGAGTCAAAGTACCTCATCTAAATTGAAACGGAGGAAGTAATACTTATGCATCAAGTCAATTTTGAACCTTAGCCACGCCCACACGGGGATAAATTGTTTTTGATAACCGTGGTGTTCGGGCCAACTTGCGCGCACCGCGACTAGTTTCAACCGGTACTTGCAACCTCCTACCAACACAGGTACTGGGTTACTCTGTCTACCAAAGTAAAGATGGATGGGAAGAAATCACCTTGTGTTTTTGCCTCCACTGAGATTTGAACCTGAAACCTCATGGTTCTCAATTCACTTCCTTGACCACTAGGCCATACCCTTGGGAACCACACAGGGACAAATCAGCCAGGACAAAAGTCACTCTTATATGGACTTCATATGTTCAGAACTCCAGCAACTTTTGGCTGGGATAGGATTGCATCTTGATTACATTTTTGTTTAAAAAATATGATTATTACCTACTAACTGCTACATGGAAAAGATATGCTATAATGGAAATACAGAACTTTTTTAAGACATGAATGTATTATTCCTTTTGACCATTGAAATAAAATTCTGTTGTACTCAAACATAGCAGAAGAAACAGCTGTTGGAATCTATAATATACTGCTTTGGGGTATACTTTGAAATGATAAAAATGAGAATTTTCAGTGATCTATCTTTGTTCATCCCTTCAGAGCTCTGCATTTTATTGCAGGTTCAGTTCCTTTTGAAACTTTCTGCACAAAATTTCTTTTGTCCTAAGCGATTTTGTTGATCTTTTATCCTCTCCAACATTATGGAGTAGCGTTTCAATTTGATGCTTTTAGCTATGGACTACAACGTCAATAATTCTTACACATGAAAGTTGGAGCAGGTGGTCTTCTACCTTCAAATTCAAAGAAAAAAAATTTAGGCCCTCTAACTTCTAGGGAACAAGCACGTTCTGTTATCCTTGATGAAATGCGCTTGACTTTGTTGGCATTAACCATTTTGTACAAATATCTACAAATTTGGCAGTAATTAGTCAATGCATGGTAGGGAAAATTGTTTGATATTGTACAAGCCACCAACTTGTTCTACTTCCTTATATTGAGTTGCTTTACGTTTGTTGTATTCACCAACTCACCATCTCTCGTACAAAACCTCAAAACTGAATAGTCACTTAGCATTACCTAAAAAAGTTTCGGGGAGGGGGGGGGGCATTGTAGTGTCATAAAACTGTTATACGACAGTCCACGCAAACTATTACCTTTTATGGCGCAAAAAGCAACAAAAATACGTCCTACCACCTGTATTATCAATGAACATCAAAACATTTACTTTCTAATCCATTATTTTATATTGATGCTCACAAAAGGGCCATTAGATGCTTGATGAGCTATTACAATTTAAACTGTTTCCACAATTTTTGACAAGCTGGTTAAAATCTAGAAATGTTTTGTCAAGTGAAACACAGAGCTAGTTAAGATCAGTCAATCAAACAAATTAATTTCAACTATCAACTAAACCTCAATACCAATCCAGTGTTGGCCATGAGAATCTCTGTATCCATTTGGCTATTTTAGTATTCAGAAGATTCATCATAGATAAATTCTTTTATACTGGTCATCAACCTGCCAACCTTCCTCTTTCTAGACCAGCTATGCTTGGAGTTCGGTTGATCAAACAAAAAGGGTAAAGAAATTACACCTGCTCGCTAGAATACCCAAAATATTACTACCTTTTTAACAGCAAGGCTTGGTGATGATTTGGCAGGATTTCCATATAGCCTCTCGAACACAGCTAAGTCTCTCAGCCGCTCTCGCTTTTCCCTCTCCTCAACTGCAATTTATTTTTCCAAGAAAAAGACAACTTATTTCAAGTTGCAGGTTCACATGGACCCAGAGGCGGATCTGAAATTTAAACTTTATGAATTCAACCTTTAAGGTTTTTAGTATTTAATCCATTATACTTTTAAAATTATGAGTTCATATCTACTATTTGCTGCAATTTTAATTGATTTTTACATATAAATTCATGCTCCGCACCGAAAGTTATGGGTTCAATTGAACACGGTTCCGCACTATTGGATCCGCCCCTGCATGGACCAGGATTTAAATGTAGCAACTGCACCTCTTTATACAAACACAAACGCAGATAGAGAAATACAACACACATACTTCATAAAATTTTATACTTCAAATTTTCTATATTATCCAGTTAGACTAACAATGGGTTACAGGAAGCAGAAAAAATTCCTGTTTACAACGACCCAGTTAATTTCCCCTGGTTAAGTGATAAATTAAATCAAGTTAAAAGTTTATGTATTTATTGATTTGATACAAACATAGTTTAAGAAAGGTTTTTTTTTTTGTTTGTGTACCAGGTTATATGTTAGATTCCACCTTTGCGCACACAAAAAAGCATAATATGTCAACCCAGAAAGGGGAGAAGTGAGGAAATAGGTGATACCAGGACACATGAAAGGGCAGGTTCCAACTAAGGGAGATAAATTCTGAATATCATCAATATCTCCATCAATGGCGGCTTTATTGTCCCAATTGCTAGAGCTTGCCTTCTTCCGTTCTTCTGAATTGACATTTTTGGTCGAGTTGCGGGAAGGATGGAAGGATCTGGAAGAAGAAGAAAAGTTGACTCCCCCTCTTGGCCTGTACGGCGGTGGATTCCTCCCCGCCATGGATCGGCCGTATGCGTAATTAACTACCACTTGATCGGAAACAGAAAAAGGAGCACTTTTTTTAGTGTTTTCACCAGCTACACTTTTTCATTTTAAAGGGCAATTCAAGTCACCTGCGTTAAAAAAATTCTGCATTTCGAAAAAGAAAAGAGTAGTATATTTTAAATCGAGTCGCATCGTTTTTATGCCAGGTATAGTTTCCAATTCCAGTCCCCCCTATCGCTTTCCATTTCTTTACGGGATTGTTTGGTTGGAATACGATTTATATCGGTATAGGTTATGTTGGGATTAATTATAATGTGATTGTTGTTTATTCATTATTTGGTATATTATATTAAGAATGATAATTGCATAATTTATAAAAAGAATGTATAAATTATACCGGTGCTAATTACCCCACCTTCTATAAGGTATAGGTTATCCCGGTATTAAAATTAACTCCGGGATAACTTATACCTGATTTGCTAACCAAACAGTATATTAAGATGACATTAAATTTTTATACCACTCTTATACCTTCTTATACCTCATACCAAACGACCCTTACAAATATATGTAAACCCCTCAATTTCTCCTCTATCTTCGTTTAGTCTCAATTTCAACTCCCAATGGACGAATATCATCCATTTTCTGTGAGTAGAATGTGCAATAAAATTAAAAATACTAGTAATACAACTAAAAATACAAGAATCAATAAATATCCAAGAATTTATTTTGTTTTAGGTAATTTGCATATTAATACTTTACTTTTTAAACATACAAATAAATGTTTATTGACTCCATAAAGTACAAATTCATAAACTTTATAGTACAAAAAACTCTTTGAAATATTACTTGTCAAATGAAAAATAGTTTGACTTCCAAAATACAGTTGTATAAGTATCATATTAATATTAAATGAAAGAAAACAATTTTTAAAAATTACATAATTATAGGTCCTTCACTCTCATAGGAACTAATTACAAAGACCTCACTAGATTTCGTTCTTCAACGCTTATTTCTTTTGCACATCGAAAGTTACAGAACCTTATTTTAAAGTTTAATTAAACTTCTTTTCACGCTCTTAATGTTATTTAAAATAAATATGTTTAGCAAATTAAATACGCCAAAATCTTAGGTATTGTAAGTATTCCTAATTTGTTTGATATTTTTAACTTGATCTAAATTAATCGATACAGTGGGTAAACTGTACCATGTTTATTGATACAAAGGATTACCCTCTTTATGTATCCAAATATCATCATATTGTATGTTACACCATTAGGCTGTAGATGATATTCATATACGTTGATAGAAATATTTTCGATGCTTACTTCATATTCCTTGACTATACCAAGTTACCAACCATATATTAAGGCACCATCAGCGGCGGATGCACATAGAGAGTTGTGGGTGCTTAAACACCCATTAATTTTGACCATATTAATTAATTTATATAGGCAACAATACAAATATTTAGATAAATATTGAGTGAGCAATCACAAGTAAATTCATTTTTCCTCTTCTTTTGAAGTTTTTATCGGCGAGCACGCATAACTTTAAAATCCTGGATCCGCCACTGGGCACCATATGTACAAAGGTCTATACTCAAACTAGCTTTATGCATACTCGAGAATACTTGTGAATGTATTTTTTTCACTTCGTTGGATCGAGCAAATGCATGAAAGCAATTTTGGTGAGCGAAATTGCTTACTGAAATTTGAAATGGCTTCATTGAAAAGTGTAAATACCCTATTGAGAAGTGTAAATGCTTATAGTAGTAAATATGAATTCTAATATCTATATGGGGACCCAAAATTTGTACTTACCAATAAAAATTTGCACTTTTCAGTATAATTTTGGAGACCGTATGACAGCAACCATAACCCTAAATATGGCTCTATATATACAACTCTATGGATACATATATATCTCATCATCCTAAACCTCAAACTAGTACACAATCTGTGAAAAAAATGGTTAGGACTCCAACAAAGAAAGTTATTGACGAATCTTTTCATGGTTCATCAGTGAATCACAATATTTTGTAGTAAGATGTTAGGAGTCAATTGAAGAAGCTCATTAGCTCAAGTGCGAGGTTAACCTGTTGCTGCTGAGGATGACTCGTGAAATTGGCATAAACTACATGAAGAAACTCTTAATGGATTCTTATCCTCTAACCGGCATATATGACATGTTGGAGGAGCTACTTACTACTACTTCTGACCCAAATGAGGGTAACAATAATTTTATTATCAATATCAGCAATGACACTTAAGCTGACTAAGGCATCTAAGTCTCCATCCAACTCGCTCTTTTGATTCACATATGGGGACTTGGACACATTAGAACCAGCTTTAGTGTCCTACTAATATTGATATAAAATTGTTGTTTGCTTTATTTGAGTCGGAAATAGTAGTACTGAGCAGCTCCTGCAACATGTTACATATTCCGATTAGAGGAGAGAAATCCATTAAAAGTCTTTTGATGTAGTTTACACCAATTTCACGAGTCATCCTCAGCAACAATAGGTTAACCTCGGACTTGAGCTTTTTCAGTTGATTCCTACATTCTTAATACAAAATGTCGTTAATAACTTTCTTTATTAGAGTCCTATCCATTTTTCACATATTATATAATAAGCTTAAGATTTACGATGATAAAATACTTATCCATACAGTTATATATAGAGTCATATTTAGGGTTATGGTTGCTCTCGTACGGTCTCCAATATTATATTGGTAAGTGCAAATTTATATTGACAAATATAAATTTTAGGTCCCCATTTAGATAATTAGAATCTCTATTTCCTATGAAGTTTTTACACTTCTCAACTGAATATTCACACTTTTCAATGGAGACATTTAATTTTCAGTAGGCAATTTCGAATAATTTCAAAATTCCTTTCAAGCACTTGCTCGATCCAACAACGTGAAAAAAGTACTTAATGTTCTCGCGTATGGATAAAGTTGGTTTGAGTGTAAATCTTTGTATATATGGTGTCTTGATACATTCCTACTATTAATAAGAGGGAGTTTGAGGAGCTTAGGTCGTCCTGGTTGCTGACCAAAAGGACATCTTTGACATTTTATTTAATTTATTCTTAGTTCAAGCTTAGGTGGTGTTGTACAGTGTTAAGTAGGAGTTTGACCTTAAACATGAATTGACATAAATACCCAAGAGCACTAGGGGTGGGCGTTCGGTATTTAAGAATTTCGGTTCGGTATTTCGGTATTCGGTTTATCAATTGTGTATACCAAATACCGTACCAAAATATTTCGGTACGGTTCGGTATTTGTTATTTTGGTTTGGTATGGTTTTGGTACGGTTTCGGTTTAATATTAAAGAGTAAAGACTTGTCCAAATGGACAATGTAAAACAGAATTTGTTTGAGAAATTACTGGAATACTCATTTGAGAAAGAAACTTCTGCAAATCGAAAATTCGGAATTGACCCTGTAACTCATAGGCCAAGTAAGAACTGATCATATCAATCTTTTTAAGTGGGTATATCCAAGCACACGAGTACGTGGAATTAAAATTACCTAAAAACAAAGGACATGTTAATAAAATTAATCTTTAAAAGGTTGACACCTCCTTCCTTTCCCAGCATAAATAATACATTATCTTAATTCTTATGTATATATCTTTTCTTGTAACTTAACACGAAGAATTACTATTAATTTATAATGGACGCGTCTAGATTAATTATATCCCGAAAAGACAAAGAAGCTACTATTCGTTCACAGAAGGTCTAATATGTATATGGTAATTGCTCAAATCTTTAGACTTTAGAGACTAGAGTTGGCTGGGGAGGGTGATGGGCTGTTGGAAACTTTGGAATTAAAATTATTTTAAGTGGGCAGGGCGATGGGCTGGGACACACGGGAAGTGGACTGGGCTGGAGCAATATAAGAAAATGTTTTTAAAAAATTTGGTATTTCGGTATACCGAAATTTCAAATTTCTAATACCGAAGACCGTACCAAAATTTCAATAACGAATTAGACCGAAATATAAAAAAAAACCGAAACCAAAATACCGAATTAATTTGGTTCGGTTCGGAATTGGGTTTTTCGGATTTTAGGCCCCTAAAGAGCACTGTCACTTGAAGCCGTTTTTCGTAAAGCGTGAGGGGCCTATCCGGTAACTTTTGCCCCTGTTCTTCTGATTATTCTATTATGTTGCTTACCACTTGTTTGTAAATAAAATGAAGTTTAAGGACTTTTACGTGCCTATGTGTAATGTCAGGCAACATACAAATAATTTCTTAACAAAAAATGTGTAAGGGCTTGTTTAACTGATCTTGAGTGGGCCATCATATTTATTGCTCCAACTCTGCATTGAAATCGGGATTGGTCCATATTCCAGTTACTATTCAAATTATCTCAATTCCCAGATTAAATATAATAATATACTCTACTAAAACTAAACAGGAGACTTTAAGTAATACATAACTGTTATAAATATATTATGTTATGGATGTTCATTTAGTACTCCGCTGTAAATAATCTTCCTGAAGAAGCTTATCCATATGAGACTCCACCGTAAATATGTTTATCCATTTAGTACTCTATTGGAAATAAGCTTCCTGAAGAAGCTTATCACTTCGGTATCCGGTTATGGATAAACATTACCCTAGATAGAAGATTATTCATACCGGGTATAATAAGTTTATCCATTCAGTACTCCGTTATGGATAAACATTGCTCTCAGTAGAAGATTATTCATATCTGGTATAGTAGCAGCTTGCAGTAGCAGCTTACACAGCAACTTGCAGTAGCAGATTACACAGCAGCTTGTAATAGCAGCTTACACAGCAGCTTGTAGTAGCAGCTTACACAGCAACTTGCATAGCAGCTTACACAACAGCTTCTGTTCTTCTATAAATAGAAGAAATTTCAGTTCATTATGTACATCAGTTTGAATTCGAATAATATATCAGTTTCTCTCTATACTTGTCTTTACTTTATAGTCTTTATTTCATAACACGTTATCAGCACGAGACTCTGACATCTCGAGCAAATACTTTGAAAGTATTAGAGGTAAGAACTTTCTTTTCCTAAATAAGGTCAAATCTTTCTAAATTTGAATTTGTAGCCCTGGATATATCGGACAAAAGCTACATGTCTTGGGTGCTTGATGCTGAAATTCATCTTGAT